AGTCCCAGCTACTCCGGAGGCTGAGGCAGGAGAATGGCGGGAACCCGGGAGGCGGAGCTTGCAGTGAGCTGAGATCCGGCCACTGCACTCCAGCCCAGGCTACAGAGCAAAACTCCGTCTCAAAAAAAAAAAAAATTTTTTTTGAAATTGGGTGAGAGGTTCATGGAGGTTCATTGTACCATTCTCTGTACTTTTGTAGAAAAAGAAAAAAAAAAAGCTTTCCAAATGATTCTAATACACTTTTAGTAGAGCAGTGCTTCTTGTTTTCTTTTCTTGAGACAGAGTCTTGCTCTGTCGCCCAGGCTGAAGTGCAGTGGCACGATCTCAGCTCACGAGCAGTGCTGCTTAAAAGTTAATGTCTCAAATAAGTTGCCTGGGGATCTCATTAACCGTATTTAGTAGGCTGGGTAAGCCTGAGAGGCTGAAGTTCTAGCAAGTTCCCAGGTGATGCTGATTCTGCTGGGTTATGGGCTACATTTGAGCATCAAGGTGTTAAAAAACCATGGGACTAAATGATTACCAACCAGAATATTCTCCTTCCTAAGCAGGTCATAGGATGAAGTTTCTTGGTCATCATTTAGTAAGTAAAAAATATAAATCAAATCCTATAGTTTTTATTAATATATAAAAATGGATAAGAAAAAATATTCTTTATAATGCTTGGAAAACACTGCTCAAATAGTACAGCTCATCTATGAAAAAAGTGCATAGAAGATTATGATGTAAGCCAAGACTTCAGACAATTTAAATAATATCTACTATCCAACAGATCTAGTGTTTACATATTAAGAAGAGCTTTGTACCAGAACTGTTCTGTCATGTTTCTGCCCAGAGGCTGTCATGGTAAAGTTTATTATCAATTACTGCTTTACAAGTATAAAATAAGTTAAGCTGTCATAATTTTCTCAGCCAGAGTTCCTAAACTGTCAAAGAATGTCAATTTTCAATCTGACATAGAGAAGAAAATTATCTGTTATTCTGACCTCTAATTTCTTGACATTTTAATGCCATAATTGCTGTGGTTAGTGCTGCTTCATGATTTCACCTGTCAAGGAAGAATGAATCCATAACCTTAAGCCATTTCTCAAACTTTAGCACTAACTTCAAAACTCAAACTTATAGGCAGGTAGTAGAATTTTTTTTTTTTTTTTAACAAAGGAGACATATATAGATATTCATATATTAAATATTTTTCTTTTTAAATTAGTGTTTAAGCAAGAAAAAATCCATCTTAGGCTAGTTGGGGTTTAGTGTAACCATAATTAGCCTTCCTTTGGTTTTATCTATACGAAATGTATAATCTTTGTATTTTAAAAATACGAAGCTAAACATTATCAAATAAAATAAATGTATTGAGCTCAATAAAAGGGTTAATATCTTTAAACTCTGCTTTTTCCAAGAGTCTGTGTCCAGCCACTTAGGTGAGAATCAACTCTCTCAAGTCACAACACAGCAATACAAGACCTCCAGGAATTCAACAGGAATGTTTTAAAAAAAGGTATTGTACCTCCCACACGGTCTACTCACAGGGGTTGCATATAGGTAAGGGTGCATAATGACCACTAAATAATGAATATGCTGTACTTCACTCCATTTTCTCTGGGTTCTTTCTTATAACAATAGATGTATTTACAGAGACAGCAACTGAGGTAAAGTGAAATTGAATGACTTGGCCTCATTTACCCAGCTCACAGGATTCAGGTGGGCTCTTGTCCTTTGGAGGACACTATTCCTCACCTTCTTAAATGTTACTGCAGAACTATTTGTGGGAATCTGTTAGCTTCTACTTGGCTAACTGGCATTAACAGCAACGGGAATATATTACAGGGGTGAATGGTGGGAAGTGGGAGAGGGGAAATTAACTAGCATTCCTTGAAATCATTTAATCTGTTATGTCTACACTGTACTAAATGGCCCCCTAGTGGTCACAAGGAGACAGAGGCTCTTCCTGAGCAACCTTGAGTCCACACAGGTCCATGGTAAACCTCTCTGCTGATGTTTGCTCAGGCCTCTGGGGGGTGGGGGAAGGGAGGTAAGAGTATTCCAGGTATGCGCTCCTTCACATGTAGTGTTCTAAGAACTGACACAGAATTATAGGGTTGAGGAAGTGGGCAAGGGGTTTGGGGAGAAAGAACATACATTTCACAGTATGACTCTGGGTCTCTAATGAAACCTGAGTGTCTGGCAATTATGTGCTTCGAATGAGCATGCTGAAAGGAGACAGAGTCCTGAGCTGAGGCACCCTAGCAGCAGACAGTCTGCATCACTAGAAGGTCATAAAGCTGTAATACAAGATATTGTTCAGACCATCTATATAATATGCCAACATATGCTTCAACCATTCCCATTCAACAGAAAACAATTTTTAATGTTTACATTTCTATGTAATGTTTCATTAAGAAGTTCTACATTAACAAAGCCTTATACACAATTTTTTCACTGTCCAAAGCAATGACGTGTTATTTTGTAGAAACAGGTATTTTGATAAGATTCAAATAATGAACACTGTATCCATGTAGAGAAAGTTTCAATTTTAATTCCATTTTCAAATTCTTTCAGTTATCTATTTTTAAACCCTCATTTAAATTGGAAAAACCTGCTATTTTGCTGTCAGTTTTAATGCTGCCCTGCACTTTCATCACGTATAAGATGCTTAATGTATTTTATTTTGTATTTAATGTATTAATTTATTTTATTTTGTATTTAATGTATTTAATTTGTTTTGCCCAACCGGATTAACTTTTAACTTTCTTTATAAGAACAGAACTTTATTATAATGGGTAAAAATGTATAAGAAAATATCCCAAAGCAGAAATGTCTATGACATTTAGAAGTCAAAAGACAATTTAGAGTTGATCTTGGAATATAAAGATGAACTATTACAATTATTTTTCTCCTGATTCTAAAAGGTATCAGCCTTAGAATAATTTCGTTTATAAAGTATTTAATAAAACAGGCATGTGATAAGCAAGGGTATATAGTTAAGAGAATAATTAAGCTCAGAATTTCTCCTACCAAATAATCTGATTACAATTTATACACAACTGGGGATACTCAGTTGGGTGAGTGTAACGATTTGCAGAGAAAATTCCTTATTTCATAATACCTGCCTTCTCTCTCATTCATTCATTCATTCATTCATTCTGTCTCTATGTTTTTCTCTTGGCTTCAGGCAATAATTTTATCTTCTTGTGCACACAATATGGCACAATATTGCCCCTAATAATATGCTTGCAACGTGTTCTCAGAATATTGCCCTAAGGGTCCAAGGATCAATGATTATGAGGCTCTTCCTTTCCTTTTCCTCCTCTCTGTTTGAACCATGCAAAGAGTCATTTTAATTTTATAGAGGTATATAAGAAATAAACTTATGAATGCAAATTTTTCTGTAGAGCTTCATTGCTCCAATCTACAAGTTTTCCACCTCTAAAATAAAAAATAAGAAAAGCATTCCACTGGCTGGAGATGCAGAAATGATTACTTGTTTTGCATACAACAGATGGCAGATATCTGGTAGAATGGAAGACTGGGATATTACTTCCTTGAAGCAACACTTATGTAGCAGCTGTTGTATCTTCACTCTTTCCACTTATCTAAAATTTTGTGCAATGTAGAAGTGATTTAAGCAATATTTTATATGAATATTTTCACTAAAAATACTATACACATACTACAGCACATAATTCCCAACTGTTAGCCATAAACATTTCAGATTGAGAACACATAGGAATAAAATAGCATAACCGCATCTATTTCATTCATGTATTTTTTGAGTATTCTGTCTAAAAGGTAGAAATATTGCTTTTATTTATTTATTATGTTTTTGAGACAGGGTCTCACTCTGTCACCCAGGCTGGAGTGCAGTGGTACAATCTTGGCTCATGGCAACCTCTGCCTCCTGTGTTCAAGTGATCCTCCCACCTCAGGCCCCGGAGTAGCTGGGACCACAGGCCTGCGCCACCACAGCCTGCTAATTTTTGTATTTTTTGTAGAGATGGGGTTTCAGCATATTGGCTAGCCTGGTCTCGAACTCCTGGGCTCAAGTCATCTGCCCACCTTGGCCTCCCAAAGTGCTGGGATTACAGGCAAGAGCCACTGAAATCCCAGCACTTGTGCTTTTATTTTTAAGAATAGCCACAGTGGCAGATTATTTTAATGTGAAATATTCCTATTTAAATATTCAGCTAGGTTTCATTTATTACTAACACACATAAAGCATTACATATTTTAATGTAAATTTTGAAGAAAAATAAAATACAGAGATAGAAGTATATTAAAAGTGTCTGCAAGTTAAAAAGGAACCACATACTGGTCTCATTACTTGTTTTGGGCCTTTTTTCAATTTTTCCACATACATCAAGAACCTGAAATCTATGTTTTGTAAAAAGTTACGTTGAAAAAAAAAATTATACAGAAAGAGATGGAATGTCAAATTTGTGTTTGAGAGATGACAGAAATTTTTGGAATAATATAGGACTTAACACCTACCTCCCTGAGCACAGGATCAGTGATACTATCCAGGTTCACAGAGCCTTCATAAGTCAAGTAGTGAAAAACATTCAGAGCACGAACTGCTTCTGGTCCTCGCTGCTTATAGCCAAATATAAGGTCGATCCACTGATGAAGTTGGCAAGAAACAAATTCACTTTCTAGTGCCTGAAATGAGTCAAGGAAGAAATGAGAGACCATTAAAACTTAGTAGAACTTCATATCCTTTCTTTTTTTAACTTTGAAATATTATATATAAAAAGGAGAATATGCTCTTTACATTTCTATACTTGATTTATATGTATCAGATCTTCAGTTCCTAGAAATAGAAAAACACTCCCTCAGCAGTATTTTACAGAGACCTAAATGAAAATTTTATCTTTCTAAAATGCTAAACTTTCTCTTGGCTCCATTAGGTACACAGTATGATTTAATATAAATACATTTCTTATAAAAATACACTCAGGTTTAGAAGAAAAATAATTTAAAATACCTTTTTTAATACCATGTTACAACAATTTCATTTCTCATTTTTAAATATTAGTTTGAAATGAAGCAATTTTATGAGACACTCTGATATACATTTATTTTCCTGCCTGAAGTCCTCCAGCCTACCTCTGAGATGACTAGCAGGGAATGTCTTTCTCCTGCTATGAATTAACTCAGCTGTTATACAGTTTAGGAATCAGTGGGCAATTCTGGATGTTTGCTAACTAATGGGAAAGAAATATAAATTACTGAGAATCAAGGGCCATACTAACTTTCCATAAACAGAAAAAAAAAAAAAAAAGGCCTTTTTATTTCCTAAGAAGCCATCAGAAGCCTCCCAGAGGTATCTTGACAGTAGGCAGGGAGTCTTGCTCAGGTCTGTGAAACAAGCAGTGACGGTGCATGGCTCACTACGCCTCTCACTTACTGCAGTCATTTATCATCAACTTCCTGTTGATTTAAACAGGACACTGATTTCAACATGAAAAAGAGCTGGACATCTAGCTTCGTCAATTTCAGCTATGCATAGCCATATAAGACAATTTCTAAATTATGGCTGTCACTAACTATGTGAACAAAGTCATTCTCTGTGATTTCCATGGTGTTGAAACCAATTTGGAATTCACTTAATGAATAAATGATTTCTTAAATTAGATTGCCAAAAACTGCTTTTCATTTTTTAAGTATATAAAATATAAATAATACTTTTCAACTTTTCCTGTGATTGCATTTAACTAGTGATTTATTCCCTTCAATCCCTTTCCTGATTTACTCCTTTCAACATTTTTTGTATTTCATCTACACCAATTAGTGTGGATGTTTCTCATTCAGCAATGTAAACAATGACATTTTGTGAAAGAGCAGTTTCCGTACTAAAGCTAAACAGAATTTCTATACTGTCTATCTCATCCATCTTGAAATAACAGTTCAGAGTAGAACATAGGAAATGAGACAAAGTCCAAAAGAAGAGATGGTTAAAATTCTGTATTATGTCTATATTAGTTTGGTCAATTTGTATAAATGATTTTGTTGATTCTCTATAACTATTCAATTAAGAAAAAGGTCAGTCTAAGTATTTAGTAACATTTTCAGTGTCTGATGCAATAAATGAACGGATTTAAAAATGAGTAAATATAGGTTCATTATTGAGTAACTATTGCTTAAACCTATTCACAGGAATTCAAATTAGTTATGGAATCAGATAAATTTAAAAGAGATTTTACCAACATGATCAGCTAAGCAGCATTCATTACAAATATATCTTATAGATACCACTAAAGAAAGGTTCGATGAAATTTACTATTATCTCTATTAGAGTAAAACCATTATTGAATAAAATACCCAATGGAATCATGAGTGGTAGTGGGAAATGATGACTTTTCAATAATTTGAGCTTTTAAAATATATTTTTTCTCTTTTATCTCCATCTCCTATTTTCATTTCCTTCCACTATCTTAGGCAATAACTGTCATGTATTTAATGTTTCTCCTTTTGTTTGCATGTGCCCTTATAAAATATTACTCATTCTTTTGTGGATATACTTTTGAACTATAAAAATATATAGGGTTAAAATTTTCATTTTGTTCCTTACTTTTCTCACTTAGTATTATTTTAAAAATCTACCTGTGTCACTGTGTGACTAGCCCATTGCTTCTCATGGCTGCACAAAACTCCCCTGGTAACAAACACCAGGCTGCCTCTAATCCCCATGACACAAGCCTGTGATAAATGCCCCTTTTGGATCTTTGTGAGAATTTCTTTGGGATTTATAATCTGGAGTAGAACTGGGAGTGCATACTTAATGTGAGTCATCAATGCCCACTCTCTAGCAGTGCATGACAGTTTCTATACACCTTATCTCCACCAACTCTTAGTATTATCCAGGTTTCTAATTTTGGCCAGTATAAGAGATACAAAATAATATCTCATTGTTTTAATTTGCATTCCTCAAATTACTAACAGATTTGATATCTTTTTAATATGCTTGTTGGTCTTTTGGGTTTCCTCTTCTGTAAATTTCCTGTTCATATCCTTTACTCATTTAAAAAATGAAGGTTCTTGTCTTTATATTGTTGATTTATATATTTAATTTTATTATTATTAATTTTTAGACAGGATCTCACTCTATGGCCCAGGGTGGAGTGCAGTGGTGCGATCTCAGCTCACTGCAACCTCCGCCTCCTGGGCTCAAGTGATCCTTCCACCTCAGCCTCCCGAGCAGCTGGGACTACAGGCATGCGCCACCATGCCTGGCTAATTTTCGTATTTTAGTATTTTGTACTTTTGTATTGCAGGGACAGGGTTTTGCCGTGTTGCCCAGGCTGGTCTCAAACTCCTGAGCTCATGTGATCTGCCTGCCTCGGCCTCCCAAAGTGCTGGCATTACAGATGTGAGCAACTGCACCTAGCCTGATTTACATATTTTAGGTAAGAGTTCCTTGTTGGTTTGAAACACTGCAAATGCATTCTCCCAAATGTCATATATCTATTAACTTTATCCATGTTCTTTGTTACATATATTTTCTTAATTTTGAGATCATCAAATCATGTTTTAAAAATGTTTATGCTTTGGGGTTTTGTCTTGAATTACAGAGATAACTATATTTTTATCAATTAGCTTTATATTTATGGTTTTACTTTTTATATTTTGATCTTTAATTAATCTAGATCTACTTTCATTCATATGTGATATTAGATATGGGTCCAGTATTATTTTTGTTTATACAGTGAGTCAGTTTTTCCAATACCATCTATTAAACAAAAATTCCTTTTCTCAGAGATGTATGGTGTTATCTTTACTGTGTGAATATATATTTGAAATGAAGATATAAAACATTCATTATTTACAGATAATATCATAATCTACATAGAAGAAGTCCAGCCTCCTTCCTCCTTTTTCTTTTGCTCTCTCTCCTATGTATCTATCATGTCTAGATATGTGTGTCCCCAGCTTTCTATATTTTTCATTTCTATTATTATCTTATCTTTATATTCTTTTGCTCTGTATTTATCATGTCAACATATGTGTGTGTCCAGCTTTCTATATTTTTAAGTTCTATTATTACCTCAATTTATCTTAACTACCTTATTTCTTACATATCTCAACATGTGGTAGAATTTATTCTTTTTTTCAGGATTAACTAGGCTATTCAGGAACATTTATTCTTCTTCGTAACTTTTACATTAAGGGCATAGATATATCAAAAGAATTTGATTGGAATGCCAGTAAATTTATAAATTAATTTGTGAACACTGATATTAGGTTTTACTATCCAAGCTCCCCAAATATCTTGATTTATACAGATCATTTTCTATGTCCTTTTTTAGAGTTCAAAATTAAAATTTTGTCCATAAAAGTTTTATCTTAGTGTTCTTGGTTAAGTTTATTCCCAGATACTTCATAAATTTCGACGCAACTGTAACACTTTAAAACTATATTTTATACTTGGTTATTAATGATGTAGAACAATGATACTGATTTCTAGAAGTTGATTGTGTTTGTAGCAACTCTCAGTAGTTATACCTAGAACTTTTTTTTTCTTATAGAATTGTTCTTAGCCTTAAGAACTATGTAAAACAGCAGTAGTGATGTGGAAAATCCCTGTCTTTTTCCTGATCTTAAGGGTTAAACTCTACTTAGTTCTGATGCAACACACATACACACACACACACACACACACACACAGACATATACACATACACAGGCATATACACACACATTTAATAACATTGATAATAGTTCATTTAGAATTTTTATATTTAGAGCTGTATATGAAATGAGCATGCTTTCTTTTTCCTCCCCTTCACTATTTTTGGAATTGAGATCCCATTAGCCTCATAAAACTAGCTGGATAGCTTTCCATGTTTCCTGAAACAACTGGTATAAGAAAATGAATTCATTATCTGTTGAAAATTTGGTAGAATTTACGTGTAATGTAATTTGGGCCTTGAATTTTGGGGGGGTTGGGATGGGAAGATTTTACCATTTACATTTCCGTAAGTCTTGGAAGTCTCAATTTTGACATTTTAAATATTTTTCTCAGTATTCATCCATTTCATCTCAGTTTTAAAATTTATTAGCTCATAGATGCTCATAATAGTCTTTTTTTTGCTTTTCTTTTTTTTGTTTTTATTATACTTTAAGTTCTAGGGTACATGTGCACAACAAGCAGGTTTGTTACATGTGTATACACGCACCATGTTGTGTGCTGCACCCATCAACTCGTCATTTACACTCGTCATTTACATTAGGTATATCTCCCAATGCTATCCCTCCCCACTCCTGCAACTCCATGACAGGCCCCGGTGTGTGATGTTCCCCTTCCTGTGTCCAAGTGTTCTCATTGTTCAATTCCCACCTATGAGTGAGAACATGTGGTGTTTTTTTGTCCTTGTGACAGTTTGTTGAGAATGATGGTTTCCAGCTTCATCCACGTCCCTACAAAGGACATGAACTCATCCTTTTTTATGGCTGCATAGTATTTCATGGTGTATATGTGTCACATTTTCTTAATCTAGTCTATCATTGATGGACACTTGGGTTGGTTCCAAGTCTTTGCTATTGTGAATAGTGCCACAATAAACATACGTGTGCATGTGTCTATATAGCACCATGATTTATAATCCTTTGGATATATACCCAGTAATGGGATGGCTGGGTCAAATGGTATTTCTAGTACT